GACTTTGAAAATTTGAATATTTATGAATTGATCTTATCCTTATTTTCTTGATCAAAACACTCATTTCAAGACAATCTCCTCGCACATTTGTACCTAAGCTGCCAAAAATACTTTGAAGTAGTGTTTTTGAGCAATTTAGTAAGTTGCAAATGTGATGTGTGTTAATCTAAGTTCCAATCAATGAAAGTCAAGAGTTCTTGTATATGCAAGTTATAAAGATTTTTTTTAGGAGTATCTAATAGAAACTTGAAAGAAACTAAAATAGATTCAGATGTGAAGAGAGAAAATTTTGTTTAGCAAGGAAAGAGTTGAGTGATCTAATTTAGGCTCAAGTTCTAGATTGTCAAATGTACTTGTCAACTAATAGTGACTCTAACTCTAGATAAGAGATGAGTACACTATTAGAGAACAGAAGATAATTGATGATGCTTGCGGTGGTATATAAAAAACACGTATTGAAATGAGAGTTGGAAATTTGAGAATATTTTTTAAGAATTTTCACATTACAAGTGACTCTAAAGGTTAAGATTGTTCTCTTCTAGGATCTATATATAAAACAAATCATCCTTGTGTTACTCAAAAAACGTAGAAGTCAAGAAATCACTGAATTGAAAATATTAAGGAGTTTGTGTACAAGCCTTGAAATTCTTGACTAGAAAAATTTCATCTCTGCTGTCATATTTGGGAACATCCCAATGAGTTTATGAAAAGATTGATTTTGATTCTAAGTCTGTGTTGATTAGATAAGTCTAAACAAATTTGGTATGAATGTTTCCATCATGCTTGTATGATGTTTCAAGGATTTCTTTCAAGATCAAATTTTTGAATACATATTGGAACAAAATTTATGAGTATTTTCATCTACATAATAATGTTCATAATTTTATACATTTCAGTTCTGAATGTATTTATGGAGAAGTATCTTCATTATGATTACTTCAATAATAGAAGCAATTCAACATGATTCTAATGTGTCAAATTTTATTCAAATAATAGTTCATATCACAACCATTTGGATAATAAAACCTATCCATGAAATAAACCATTCATTTTGGTTTAGACAATTGAAACATTTGATTATCAATATAATTAAACTGAGAACTAAAATTTTATGAATATTACGTGTTTAACCTAAATGATGAAGATCATTCATAAATGAAGCACAACAATCAAAAAATTGCTTATGCAAGTATATCGTCTCATAATAGATCTAAAGTATACATTTAATTAAAAAAAATTGTCATAAATTTTTAAAAATTTTATTTTTTGTAAATATATGGTAAAATTATTTTAATATTTTATTTATAAAAAAAACTTGAATTTTTTCTAAAGATCTTCCGATTTTTTTTCATAAAATTATATATTCGAATTTTTATGTTGATTGCGTATAAAAATTTATATAAAAAAATACAACATTTATATTTAGCTATTTTTCATAATGTGAAATTTATTTCTTTCCAATCTTTTTTTGCTCATTTTAAAAAAAATTCTTTCTTTAGAAAAAAAAATTTGTGACAAATTTTCAATTTTATATTGTATGATACAATTTTCATTTCATACAAAATCAAACCAAATCATAACTTCAAGAGTAATCAAAATTTTATTTTTGAAATTTTTTTCTTAAAACAACAAGCTTAAAGTAAAACGTATTATAGTTATTTTGTGATAATAAATGCAAATTATTTTATAAAGAAAATTCGAGCTAAAATTTTGATCTGAAAATATTGTCTAAACAAATCAACTTCTTGATTTTAAGTTCAAATCTAGTTTTCAAGCTTTTTTGTTTTAAACTAGATACTTCTAAAAGAAATTTTGATAACGCTAAACATGTTACATTTTTTAATTTTTTTGAATATTACTGCATTAATTGAATTGATGATGAGAAGAAATTCAACCCAAAATACATACTGAAGCAGTACTGGAAAATTTGTTATAACAGATAACATGTTATTTGTCATCATGTATATGAGTTTCACTATTGCTAATCCTAGGGCCAAGCCACATTACCCGCGGTGAAGCTTTGCCTGTTGTGGTTGGCAGGCCAGGTCCACCTCTTTACCACAAGCGAAGGAACCGCAATTTAAGATATCATAGGTGGCAAAGAAAATCGGTTGCTGCTAAGTACGAGGCACTTCCACCTAGAAATGCAGTTTTTCTTGGATCGACAGATTCCACTTGTATTTTCGTGACTTCTCACTAGATATTTGTCGGTAGTTCCTTTCCACTCCAAAGGTAGTTCCTTTCCACTCCAAAGGCACTGCCGTCCGTGTGGTAAAGTTTACGGGATAATCTCCAGCAAGGACTGAGGCCTACGAAAACCAGGTTACGGATAATTTGTAGCAAGGGTACTGAGAACTAAGAAAACCAGGTTATTTTCTAGCCAGGAGGTTAGTGACGGATTCAGATCATGTGGCATCGGCCTTAGAGTTTAAAGCCCACATGTGGTATAGAATGATGGATATTTTATCCAATTGGAGAGAATTTCACTCATACCCAGCCTCTGGAAATATACCCTCGTCAGTTCTACTGCACATAAAATTATACTTCAGAGCTTTAGCCTATAAAATACACTTCTTGTTTTGTAGACAAATCTTTCACCACATGTTGAAGAATATATTTCTTGGCTTGGGTGCATTAGTAGTGTGTCACTTGCCGGCTCGAGTTTGAAATATAGAGCATATTGGCAGAAGAAGATTCTTGAGACCAACGAAGAAATAATGGCGTTAGCTCTCAAATTTCGCTTCAAAGATATTTCCGGTCATAATTTAACAACAACGATACGATGAACTGAGCATATATTGAATATATTTTAGAGATTTTTTAAGGATTACTCTATGTTGGCTCTGCGAACTTACCCCAGCGGCGGATTTAGTCATGCAGTCAGTATTACCCAGTATTTCCAAGCATAGTGAAGTGCATAAAATTTTACAAATAGCAGCAAGACTAGTAAATGTTTTCTCTGTAATGTACGATAAAAAGCATCTGCCCTGACAAGTTCTTATCAATTATTATCCAATCAAATGTGTCAGTTAGAGAGGCTTCAGAAAATAAGTATATATAAATTTGGAGTGAATTTTTTATCAAAACATGAAGTCCAGCTTTGCATCGATTAATATACTCCGATTTTCACAAAGCGTCTCGTTGAAGTAAATCTTCAAACCGGTCAAGAATAAATTCCAGCCTTGTATAGTGATAACATGTATGTGATTATGAATGTTCCCCGAGAGACTGACTCGTACAAAGCTTTAATGACTAGTGGCAGAGACGTATACAATCTTTTAGTGGCCAGTGTATGTCGGGGGACCTTGTTACCTCCCAATAGTGTCACCTCCTACAAGTGACATACTCCCATTAGTGACATGAAAGTGTGAAAACATTAGTTTCTAACGTGTAAGTCTGTTCAATAAGAACCTTAAGTCACAATCGACAGGTAGTAATGACAAGAGAAGATTTAATAGTGACATCTTGGATTTTTAATGACTACCATAATTACCAAAAGTATCCGTTCGCGGCTTGCGGGTTTAGAAAAAAAGTATAGAAAAGTTCTCACTGAAAGCATAGAAAAAAAGTATGATTTCAATGAGGTTAAATCATGATTTCAATTATATTGTGAGAAGATTGAATGCGTCAAATGTGATATGCTCATGTTATTATATGTTATTTTTCCTTGACAGACATCAAATACATGTCCTAGAAACACATGGATGATTCTCATGTAATCATCAGAATCAGTCTCATGGTATCAAGTTTCGTCTTTCATCATGAAATTCATTTGTAATTCCTTTCAAAGATTGCCACTTTCCGAATCTTCATACTCAGAAATGGAGGATTTGTGAATCCAAGGACATTCTTCGATTGAAACCAAAGACACGACTAAAAATTATACAAACGTACAGAAAACCATGTGGCTGAACAAAAGGAAACATGGCTATGGATGAATTCTTCATGTGGTCATGAAGATCTTCGAACCCATTGATATTATGTTGATTATAACCACCGCTGTAAACTAGAAGCATTCAATTTTGCAAAACTTACCAAGCAAACTTGATTTTCAATAATTCTCAAATGAGAAAAATTGCTTCTCGATTGTACCTTGGAGCTCTTCGTGTAATAGAAATCTCTCTATATACACTAGAGTACACAAATCTTCTATAGTAGAAATTTTTAATAGTAAAAATTGTTTATATACAGGCGAGTACAGAAATATTGGAAAGTTTTTGTATTAGAATCTCATCATGATCATCAAACACTGTAATTTCGCTGTTCATTGTTTGGAAGTTCAAGTTCGAACACCCAAAACTCGCTAAATGTTTCGGGGGTCCGCTAAACATGCAATAAGAATGTATCTACGTGATCCCCTGAGTATCACACTGTAATTTCACTGTTCATTGTTTGGAAGTTCAAGTTCGAACACCCAAAACCCGCTAAATGTTTCGGGGGTCCGCTAAACATGCAATAAGAATGTATCTACTTGATCCCCTGAATATCACCCAACCTCGTGTGAGTGACACCTCCCAATATTCACTTAACCTCTATAACCAATGTTCGTCACTATTGAGAGGTTTAACTCTGTGTACACATCAATATACGTGATGATTTCTATAATTATGGTGTTGACAGATCACTTTTCTCCGGTGTCATTTACTATGTGCTATATTGCTTCTGCCCACGTTTAGACATTCTATTCTGTAATATCGAAGAGATCTCTGGCAATACTTACTACATCGTTTCCACTACTACATTCAATCTAGAACACAAACTAACAAAATTAGTCCATAACTACAAGAATCAAGCAACAACAGGAAGTCTTTTGAGAGTCAGCACAGTCGCATTATTCCAGTAGATCCAGACGAGACAGATCTCGTTGAAGAATAACGAACACAGGTAACACAACATAAACGAAATTGAAATCGAAACAACCCGGAACATTTCCATACATAAAAGCATGAAGCCAAAAGCGTAGAGTCATAATAATCACCATACAATTAGATGCACACGGTGTGTAGCCATCGACCCAAGTTTTCTCTTAGATTACAATGAGGTCAAACATGCGGTGACTACTCCACAGAGCAACGATACTTCCTGTAGAGAGCCCCACGTCTTTTGGTCCCCACGATTAGAATTAGCTCTGCTTCACTGCTGCCACCTTATGTACTTCAGGATGTACTACAATACTACACTAATACTCATGAGAGGAATGTGTTGGCACATTACTTCTCCGTAAAATGTGTTCTAGCTGATCGTCGTCACTTTGACCTGCTCTAGGTCGTTTGGACTTGCTTATTAACTGATGTCTACATGGTTGCCTTGTTTCATGTTCATCTAGAGTGATCACACTCGAAATGTCGTCACCTGGACTGCGTCAGGATTCAACAACTCATGAACACGGCAACCAAGTTAAACATGGTAAAGACTTGTAGGAATGTAATAAATCGATCGATCACCTACTGCAGTAACATTCCTGTTGGTGGAATTTTCAGGTTCTTTTACTACACTTGTTGAGAATCTTCGTTCGTACTGATACACTCGAGCGCCCCCCTGCTTCCCATTTTCTTCCACAATGCTAATGGAAACTTGACTCATTCAACTAGATCTGAATAGGCCAGACGGACTATAACCCCACCGTTTCAAAAGGGTTACCATAGGTCTTAGATGACACTGCAAATGTACATGGACTCTAAAGGACAAATGACAACTTATGGGGGAGGTCAATGGGGGTCACAATTCTCGCTAGAAGGGGCTACCTCAACCTGCTGAATCAAATCTTCATCTGCATAAAAACCTGTGCAAGACTCGAATCATAGAGGAGGAACGCATCAGGTTAACACGCGGGAAGGGTTTGCCCATTGAGTGGATAGGATAGAAATAGCGACGGTGAGAGTGTGACACGTGAAAGGAAGACACCTTGATGAGGGAAAGGCCTATACCTACCGTTTTTGCTCTTCTTCCTCCTCTATAAGGATCTGCTTCATACCCTCATAACACATGAAGGAGATCCCCGCAGCTGGTATCAACTTGAAACAGCTAGCAGCAAGTCCTCGATATAAGCCAGAGGGGCCTTGTTGTTCTAGAATGCTTGTCAGAGCATGAAGGAGATTCTTATACACAACCCGACCGCTCACAGCTCCAAGTTGCATCTGTTTCCGGGCGACCTCCAGAGGAAACGTGCAAGCACTCGACAGGGCAGCAGACGTAGACCCAATACACAGAGTAGCGAGATTTCCCACTCTCTCCTGCTTCGTGTACTTCTTGTAGAGCTTCCGCAGCGTATCATAGGCAAAGTAGTTTGTGGCGGCGTAAGGAATGACTCCGATGAGGCTTGGAGTTAAACCCCTGTATAGTTCCCTCGGCCCTTCCTCTCGACATATCTTGACCATTGCATGTACCAGATTGTCATAAACCCCCCGCTGCCATCATACGCCATAATTGGTAAAACCGATTAGGTTGAGAGCTTACTCCTTATGTGAAACGGAGATTATGGATTGTTTACGTCGGAGCTGTGCTCCAAAGAAATACCTACTTCTTAAAATATGTATGAAGATATTTTTTACTAGCTTGGTTTATCCGAAAAACGAAACCACATAAAGTATGCAGCACTAACCTGAATAGTCAACCGAGTTTTCAACAACTCCAGTGGGTACATAACCAATGTTGAGCAAACACCTGCAGTAGCACCCGCCACAGGTGCAATTGGAAAAGGAATTTTATCTTTCCCTCCATCCTTTGCAGTCAAATATTTCTTCACCGTGTCATACGCAAAAAGCTGAAATTGGAAACAAATACAAGTTCAGTAAAAGATTCTCATCAAGAGCTAGATAATTTGGTTATTTGGTTATCCCAGCTCATTATTAGCTGGGATTAGTTAGATGGTACGAATTGTATCGGAGGATACAATATCCTATCCTTGTATAAGGTATCAAAACGTAATGAAGATTTGGAGTGAAACACAGTAGGACGTGCCTTGAAATTGAAAACAAACATAGGTTCAGTAAAAGACTATCATCAAGAGTTAGCTGATTTGGCTTGCAAAAGTTGAGCTGGGATTAGTTCGATGCTATGAATTGTATTGGCGGATAGGATATACTTATCAGCCTATAAGGATTCACAACGAAATAAAGATTTGAAGTGAAACACGGTAGGACGTGCCTCGAGATATAAATGAAGGGGACGAAACTCTGACGGTCTGCTCGAATTGGGAACAAACGGAAAGAAGGTAGTCACAAATGCTCAGAAACACCCTGGACAGAATGAAATCATGTAGTAATGACTATGTCCTTCGACGGATCGGCAATAAGAAGATAGCACGGGATGTCGTTACAGTAAGCGACCGGCCAAAACAAAAGAACATTAACTGGATTAATAACAAAACTACAACAATATTCGATATGCCTTCCTTGTGATAACGTTCTAATCTCTCTATCATCATTTCCTTGACCCGAATATACGTAAATGGATTCAATCTCCGTTTTCGAAAGAAAAGGCTTACGTAGGTTTGGCAAGTACTACAGACAGGTGGAAGCTGAAGAATGCGCGAATTCAAAACACACACCTCAATAGCTTTGCTTGGGGCGACTCGAATCACGTTAACTCCATTTCCCCTGAAAAGTCCGCGCCAACCCTCCTGCCCCACAATATGATTAAAAACTGCCGGTACAGTCTGACCACCACTTCCGACCATCAAATGAGTCCGTATTGTCTCAAGTGGAGCAACGCATGTTCTAGAAAATGCCCCAGCAATCGCACCGCTTAGTAGCCTCTTCAGATTTGCATTCTTCACCTTCACCCTGACGACAGGCTTAACAATCACCTTCTTAGATTTTTCGGTCACCTTAAGCTCCTTCTCTTCAAATTCTTGAATCTCTCTTATCTTGTCAACTTGGGGAAAGAGAGTCCTAAACTCAAATTCACTTAAAGGCAACTGATGGACATGTCTGCCAGAAAAGTCTAAACTGCGATCTGAAGGCTTGCAAACGAGCGGTGGCAAAGCTGCCACAGTCTCAGCTACCATCCTTTCCCGTTGCCTTTGCATCTGACCTGCGCTGGCTACGGCTGCGCGGGAGGTCAAGGTCTCAGCGGCACCCCGAGCCCCAGCCATTCACAACCTCTATGTGTCTTTCCACGCAAATCGTTTGGCTGACCAGAATCACAAGGTTCAGCAAGGTTGCGTCGGGTAGAATTTGCGAACTCCCTGCGGAGTGAGTATCTCCTTCAAACTCCGCGTGGAAGCACAATTCGGAAGGAGAAGAAGCAATTTCAGTTGAGAAGCTGACAAGCCGAAGGTGGTAAACCGCCAAAGTATTCAGCTAGCCAGGCCGAATCTGACTCCGTCCCTCCTCATTGTTGTTCAAGGACCGAGAGATCTCATGACTCAATTGTGATCTTTTTTGCCCCCAGTGCGAGGCGGCCATCAACTTCCGGAGGCCACTTCCAACGCTTGAGCAGAGATGATTCCACTTCCCACGCAGAACGCGAAGTGGCAACAGAGACAGACGAGACGAGAGCAAGCGCGCGTGGCGAGCGCGGAAAAGGAAGAAGAAGCCGACCTCGGTGGGATTCCTCGTCTCGGCTCGCGAGGTCGAGACTTCCAAATCGGAATGCACCAACGAGGAGTCAGGAGCCGTGTGCGAAACACGCAGGGACGCGAGAGAAAAGGGACGAGGAAGGATGAGACAGATCGACTAGTGGATCAGGAGATGTCAGAGAAAAGGATGACTCTCCCGTTGGTAGAGCTGCTCTGCGGATGGCAGGATGGGAAGTTGGCAGCTCTCAGTCTCTCTCACTCACGAGGCGTGAGCGCCACTGCGAGTAGAGGAGGCTCCCTGAGGTTGGAGAGTGAGCGGAGGCTCCACTTCTACCGCCTTGCGACACACCGAGCAGACCACATATGCTCAGACCTCCGCGCTCAGCGCCAAACCTCGCGAAACAGGTGGGGACAAGATCGCGCAGCATCACTGATCTCGCAACAAGCCCAGTTCAGCTTCGCAGCGAACCACGCCCGAGATAGCTTTCCCCAGCACCATCTGCCAAATCGATTCGCGCTGGATTAGCACGGGCCTGTGGATGTCGCTCATTGGCAATCGGATTAATGGTGCAATCCGTGGTAGCCAGCAGGCCCGCTATCGACCTCAATGCTACGCCTCCCTCCCTCCCTCCCTCGTTGTCGTTCCGAGCTTTGCATCTTTGACGTGGCCTGGCCTCCATCGCCATTTTCAACCCTAATCGTAACCCAACCCAACCCGTATTTCGTCGGACCACGGTCGCAGTGACCCGCTAGGCCTCGAGAGCCACCGGATCCATGGATTCGACGCTCGAGATCTCTCGCGTTTACCTGCCTACTGCACAGTTCTTACCTTTCTATTGGAAAGTGTGTGAATGTTCCTCCGGTGCTCTGGAATATTATTTCTGCATCGACCTTCTCCCCACACATGTCTCTATCGCTCGCAAGACATTATCACCCTATAAATTAACCGAAATTGGAGAGAGACAGTTGTCCGATCTCGTGCAAATCTAGACTCATTTCTTCTTTCACGCTTTCACGTTTGCTTTCACGTTTACTTTCGTGAACGATACTCCAGAAAAAACCAACGCAATGCATTACACTTTATCCTCCAGAACAGACGGTAATGTTAAGGACCTTTGACATTACGATGCCCTTGATTTTCGCTCATAGGCCCTGCCCGCCCTTGATATCCAGAAGGATATAGAAAACATTTCATTGAGCTCAAAAATGTTTGTGCTCTCCTCTGGCTCGAGTCCCATGATTTTTGGTGTAAGGTAGTGCAGTTCGAGAAATGCAAGGACTAAGATTTTCTTCTCTGATGTCTTCGACGCCTCAAGGGTATAGCAAAGATGATGGACTCTTCGAAGGACAGTATAATGACAGTGTAGACTGTAATCTGAACAGTTGTGAAGAACTTCATATCAGCTCCATTGAAGCTCCCATGTTCGCGTTTGACTTATTACGGGACTGGCTTAATTTTTTGGCTTCATCTGGTCTACCAAACATTGAAGGTATGCGAGCATCTGCTGCGAAGCGGAGCGTCGGTCTCCACCTGCTCTTCAGCATCTCGGACTTTGGCAGTAGAATGTCCCTCGGAACTCTAGTTTTCCTCTGACCGCGCTTGCATCTTGCTGATATTGTGCGATTTTTTGTTCGTGATCCTCAAGGAGAATCGCATTGCATGCCATTCCGTCATCAGCCTGAGTTGGTAGCGCTATGCGATGGTTGAGGTTCGAAGTTCCCTGTACTGTCGGCTGTGAAACGAACTTTCTCCGAAAGAACAGGGGTCAAACTGTCCCAAAGAATTCTTCCTAATTACACTCCAAAATTCGTGAACAGCTTAAAATGTCCGGACCCTCAGGCACCCCGAAGCACATCAAGTCGGTCCTAATCTACTTTTGTGTATTAGATGCTGACGGAGAACTTTCCCGTTGATTCCGGTGGCTTACAAAACCGCAAAACAATAATAAAAGCAAGCTAGATCCGACATCCTAATTTCAAGATAAGACAAGTAAATAGAGGATAATACGAGGATTTGTAACTACGGTATCCGACTTACTGCGTAATCCCGCATCCATAAACTTCAGCGGAAGAAAAGGCGAGAGGTCGAGCCAGTAGTGACCGTGAATCCAGTCAAGGTTTTCCCACAGATGGAACTCACCACGTAGGATTTGTACTGCGGAGGACTGCCTCTCCACTGTCCACACTTACTAACCGCGACTCGGGACCTTACACGACTCGGGTTCGCCACAATCCGCGGTTGCGTCCCTGCTGGAAAGAGTCTTCTTCTTCCACGTGTCACGCCCAGGGCAGAATAAAAATCCAAACCGGCAATCCAGGGGAGCATAGCCACCAAAACACACTCCAGCTTTGTCGTCGTGGAAACCTTTTCTTGGATCCTACTCATCCCCACGGCCTCTCAATAAATGGGATTAATCTGGTACTGGTGGTCTTCCTTCACTCCATGTTTTCCTGCATTGGTGCGTAAACTCAGTTTACTAAACTGTCGTGAGTCGTAGACTTTCCTCATCTCCTGCACTTGGTCTCGGTCTCAAGAGAGGCTTTAGAGGTCTCAGGTTTTTTTTGTCAGGCATCGGATCTGCTCTACCCACACGTTTGTGGCGTTAATTCAGTCCCTGATGACACGATTCACAACTCTGGACTATGTTCTCTCCCGCCTTTATCACCACATATCTTGCTTACACCATATAGTAGAAATGCAAATTATATGTTCCGAGATCGCTCTTGACGGATCAAGGACTTTCTACAAGTTCTCGACCTCAGGACGAAAATCCGTGTGTATGAACTCTTCTATCAGGTGCACATTTTCTTCAATTTACGGTATTTTTCCAGGACTCAAAGTCTTCGCTTTTTGAAGTGTTATGACTGAAATGAAGAGAAGTGCATTTTACATTTCAAAAAACATCTCAAGTGAAGCGCTTACACAAGTTAGCAATAAAATAGCTACTGGAGCGAAGGGTAGTTGCATATGTCCGGCACTTGTCCATTCCCATAAGTCTCTAGACTTTGGCATCCTGAAATTCCCCTTTGAGAAAAGAAAAACCAGTAATTAGAAAACTAACATCTTACCGGCATCACGAAGGGAGTGGTTGTCTGAATAGTTCAGTGCTGATGATTTGCCCGCATATATTTTGATATGTGGCTCAAGGAAAATGATTCCATGTGCATTTTTCTTAGAAAATATCAAAACGAATTGAAACGTACAATAGATATTTATCGCACGATCGTCGGCATGGAATATCACTTCACGTATAATCAAACTCTTGATAAATAGAGATCTTCTTTTATCTTGACTTTCGGTTAGAAACACGATGGACTTAATATCATGTACTACTTGATATTATCTGTGTACGACTTATCCCTTCCTCATAGTTATTTTACTTTGAAGACAATAATAACATCCTACGAGTATATGCTTTCAAGCATCTGGGCTGAGCATGCCTCCCACATGAGAGATAAATATGTGCACATGAACAACATCAATATCACCTAAATTTTGCACATGCTTTAGCACCGGTATTCTACATGGTTCTGTAATAAATCTTAATGTAGACTTCCCTCCACTACCTCTTGAAATTCATATCTCCACTCATTGTCTTTTTTTGCAGCAGCTGATATATTAACACGGGCCCCATTTGTAGATTTTCAATCCCTTACAAGTTCGAAAAAAGTTCATTCTTTCCCCACCTTTATCAGCCATGTTTTTTTCCATGAGGCCCTAGTTCCCTGAAATTTATCTAGGGCGTGTAGTGTCTCGAGTGATTCCATGTAGTCAACCACCTTCACTCGCATCATTTTGATGATAAATTATGCGGTATATTCAACATCAATCCTGGTGATAGATAGGCTGATGTAAACATATGGCAAGTATATGATCCCCTGCTACACTCACTGGACATGGTTTTGTAGGTCGTGGCATCTAAGCTCAATCATCTCACTCGTCTCGGTTACAAGAGTATGCAATTGTGGCCAGGAAGGTTCAGACGGACGCTTTATTGATAGGGGACCCTTTATTCATGGGATCAGATTCAGAAGTGGTGAGAAACGAGTCAATGGAGACCTGAGCATATGCTGTGAACGGATTAGAGGCAAAAGATTCTACTTATATGTGGCGACATAAGTTGTCTGGATATACATAGATGTCATATGTGGATGTTCGACTTTTGGTCTAGTCAGGTGCTGGTTGTACATGAAGACATGAGTATCTAGTGTATGGTCCACAGTTCATTCTCGTTTCAGTTGTCGAGCTTTTTCTAATATCTTTCCTATCTTGTTAGCTCTACTTTTCTTTCCCTTTTCACTTTTTAAGAGAATTTTACACTTGTACTTGCGTGTTTCTTGACTTCGGCCTCTATTTATTCGCAATCTGGAAGTAGATAGTAGCCTAGAAGAGAGATGCTAGCGGTGTCCTGAAATAGGTTATCAACTCTCAATAAATGTCTGCTGCCACAAACGAAATGAAGTATTCTTATGACACGATTTTCTTAATTCGATGCGAAAGTAAAGCACTCATATGTTTATGTATTCAAAATATCAAAAAAAAATATTAAAGGGGTTCTTATTTTTAAAAATAATATTCACGCTTCTTAAGATATTGAGAATTTTATATTACAGGTATATAGTACACAATGATTCACATGAGAGTAAACAAAATTAGTATAATCTTCACCACTATCAGAAAATTCCTATTTTTGAAGTAATAACAAAGTGAACTTTTCTATGAATTCCCCCTTTATTCAAGCTTTGATGAGTATAACCTCAATAAAATATATGGTATATCTATGAAAATCAATCTAACTTTCTTTAAGAAATAAGATCAAACAATAATCAAGTCATAATCAATGACCGATAACACATGATATAAAAAATCATAATCCAAAATCTATTACATTGAAACGTGATTAGTATTAAGATATCAATACATAATTATTACACAGCTTGATGCATTGATTTGCAGTTCAAGTCAAAGATAAATTTATATCAAGGTATGAAGTAGAATCAAATAGCAAAACAAAGACATCATTTTACACGATGATGATAACCAGTCAAAGATAAAGAAATCATCATTATTGAAGAAAATAGTATGAGAATGATTTACTCACATGATCATCACACTACTTTAACTATCTTCATCCTTATTCTGTTAGTATTAAACAAATAAACATAATTTTATGTTAAATTATGAATTTCTTTGCATGAAAGACTTTCATTCAAAGATGATGGATCTATGTGGAGATTATTAGTGTCATGCAGATTGCGTAATCAATTGATCATTGAACTATGGAACTTTACACTTGAAAAGATCAATCACTTGCTTAAGAAACAACTATTGCCTCTATTAAGTCATGAAATAAGACATATATTTATTTTGATAAACTACTAGACAATAAGTATGCGCAAATTGGCAACTCAAGGGAAGCAAATATAGAAAAATCTATATTAGATCTTTCCTGTCATTGATATCCAAAAAGCAGAAGTATTTTGTAAATTCCTAAAAAAACATGTAAACCGTATATATTATTTGATATCTTTAAATTTTCATGCAATTTTCTAGGATATGTATTTTATGTTGATATTTATCACTCCAA